AAAAAATATATAATCTTCCCCTCCCTCTCTTTCTTCTTTTTTAATCTATCAAAATAAAGTTAATACTAATCCTTTACTCTTATTTGCTTTCCTTCTCTTCCCCTCACCTTCTCTACTTATCCAAATATATCTTGTGATAGGGATAAACATCTTCAGCTTTGTTAAATGCCATCTTCTCATCTACTTTACCCCCTGTTTGTTAGAGAAACGAAGGAAAGGGGAGGAGAAAGTAGGGAAATGGAAAGAAAATGATTTCCCTGTTTAGTTAAACTAAAACATAGAAATATAATAAATTAATAAAGTAAAATAATGAAAAATCTCTTCCCTCCACTCTCCTTCAATTTTTTGTTAACTAAATACCAAATTTTTTTTCTTCTGCCTTCCCCTTCCCCTTCCCTTTCCTCAAATCAAAATAGTTCTATAGAGGAATTGTTAGAACTTTTGCAAAAGTATTTAGTTATGAAAAATTTTCAAACTTTGATAGAATTTTTAAAACTTAAAAATTCAACAACTAGTCATTTCGTATAAGAAATGTCATTTTTTTTCTTTACTAATCAAGAGCCACCTTTCAAGACATGAGATTTGCGATTTATAGTTCAAGTTAATCTCCTTCGTACCAAGACAATATATTTTTTATTTGAAATTTGTGCCAAAATAATAGACAATTTTTTTATTTTTAAAATTTCAATTTTCTTTCTATTTTAATTTTATAATTATTTCTCAACTTTAATTATTCATCTTAGGAGTATGAAAATAGTTTTTTATTTTTATTTATTTTTAAGAGTAACATAAGTAAAAATAAAATTTATCTCAAAATTGTTAATCTAAAAATAAAATAAAAAAGATTTATTATTCTGAAATAAAGAAAGTAAATTCTTTTTGTTGTAATCAATATTTATTTAACTCTAAAGCCACAAAAAGAAAAAAAAAAAAATATATATATATATATATATATCTATCTATTTAAATTCTTTCATTTTTTGAACTGAGGCTAATTTTCTATGAGAGGGACTTAGCACAAGCGATTTGAACCATATCTTTTTAAATCTCCTCACGAAACATAAATATCTCCATTTTTACCATCTCCAAAATTCCCCTCTTCTGAAATATCAACAATGACCCTCATCAACTTCCCTCAAAAGTCAAAACTTGTTCATTCTTCAAAAAGTCCTCAGTTTCATTTGGGATTAATGTGAAATACTATTTTTAAGTATTTATTATCATAAAAATTATATTATTATTTTATAATTGTTTTAGAAAGAGTTGTTATACATGAATCATTGTAGTTTTTGGTCACAACCTATTTTCCAAAGCTATCTTGCCCTCTTTCCTTCAAGAATTGAGGAAGAATCTATCAAAACTTACAAACATATGTAATCCTAAACTCTTTTCTAAGTAAAATTTTATTGTATTCTCGAGATACCACCAACGTGATATCTTAAGTCAATAAAAAAACCAACATCAACTTTTTTCTATTAGTGATTAATGAATGTGAAAAAAAACTAATATGGTGTTGTTTGACAATGTGGTATCTTGAGGATATAGCAAAATTTCTCCTTTTCTAGATTTGATTCCACCTCCCTCTTCCATCCAGCGATTAATCACCCACCTAAAGGAACCACACAATCTCCCCATCCGCTCCCCATCTCCTTCACTAACCATCCTTGAATCTCCGTTAATCTTTCAATTTCAATCCACAAATACATTCATCGTTTTTTCATCTACATGGATTGATTTAGAACAAAATTAGTGAATATAAATTTTAAAAAAAATCCGCTTGCGTGAAGGGACAACAACACTAGTAAAGGAAAAAATGGTAAGGACAATTTGTGGACTACTTAGTGGGCCTAACTAGTTAGACTCCATGCCCAACAGGAACTCTTGCGCTGTTTGCGCTGAACCATATCGGATCCAGTTCAACCATGCTTGGCCCAAGTAACTGAACTAGGGTTTTAGGGTTTCAGAAAAGCTCTATATATTGGTGGCCGAATCGTGTTACATTACAATCCCTTCTTCTTCTTCCCTGCGTTAGGGTTTGGGAACAAATGCCCTTTTTTCTCTTTTAATCCTGTGGTTATCGAGCATTTGATTATGGGTTTCTCCGCACGATCTCTCCCGGGCTTCTCTGAATCACAACTTTTGAAGAAACAAGCCCCAATGATCGTGCTAAATTGCCGCCATTCGTGTTGCAGTTAGCCTTCTGTTTCCCACGGCTCATCTGTGTCAATTCAATGGCTACATCTCCATCTCTCATGGGATTTGTTTATATTTTATTGTTTGCCTCTCCTCACCTTTAGCTTGTTTTCGATATCTATAATGCAGCGGAAACTAGGCTAGTCATGGAGGCAAAAATTTACCTTGCGGTGTCTCACGTGGGGGCATGTCTTTCCATGATTTTGCCTCTAAAAACATCCGCTATATTATTAATCTTTTCTGCATGTTTTTGTAGGGTTTGGCTTTATTTTTATTTATTTGTTCAATCTTTTGGCTATGATTATAAATTTATCCGCGCTTCTGAGAGAAATTAATGAAGCACACAAAAAAATCATGGTTGAATTTCTTAATATGAGCCGAAAGTTTTAATTCAATTCTTGGGTTTTGTTATTTGTGTTGTTTTTTGATTCGATTATAATTATAAAATTGGCTGTGATGAGGAAAAATACAGCTTTAAATGCCAGTTCTGCTTCAGAAAATTCTTGATTGATAAAGCTGATTTATTTTCTGAGCCTCTTTGATTTAGAACTTAAATGGGGTTTCTTTATTTTCAATTCGGTTGTGAAAATCTTGGATGTTTTTTTTTTTTTTTTCCAAAAATTTTAGTTATGCCAATGATGATGTAATCCAATTTGGATGAGGTGCAGTGGAGTCAAGACCCTGTTTTCAGGGAGAACCTACTTGGCAGAAGCTGCAATTCACTGATATTAATGGATTTGACTGAGGCAGTATCTGTTTTCAATTTTTTTTTTTAATTTAAGTTGTTTAATGATGATATTTGTTAATAGTTTGTGATTGAGTTTAACTATACTCTGCATCTATCTTTTTATGGGCGTAGAGTCTGAAAAACTCAAAGATTGAAAGGTGTTGACATCAGCTTCTTCTCCTGTATATTCAACGAGAAAGGAGTTAAATGACAGCACTAAATCTCTTTTTGATCTAATATCATTCATTTTGTGCATAAATGATTCGATTCACTACCTTTTTTTTATTATTTTGTTATGCAGGTTGCTAGGGAATTCTTTCTTACATTTAAAGCCTGAATATAAGTTTCTCGGAATTTATTGGTTTCGTATGCTGGATATAACTATAATGAGAATGATAATATATTCCAAAGTCTTCAACCCTGAAACATGCCTACAAAGATTAGACTTCAAGATCAATGCTGTAATGGATCTTAGTTACTGATGTATCTTCGTCATTGATTGTCTCGGGTGAAACGTCGGCTTCAAGATCAATGCTTCCTGGTGCAATGCGATATCATCTCGCTGCAATAGTCCTTCCTATAGGAGTGGTATTTCTAATCATGATGTCATGTCCTTGGTATTTCTAATCATGATGTCAACCTCAAACGTGTTTATCTTGGGTTTTCTT